CCCTTTCAGCCCTGTAGCCAGCCCCCGATTTGCTCATTAACCTTGTTCTGTCCAGGAACATTTTTATTCACATTCCTCATCCTCTCACAGCCGTACTTATACTTTGTCTCCTTAACTATATTCCAAAAGCTCCCAAGAAGGCATCCATGTCTTACACATCTTACAAAGGATAAGCCAGGAGCTACACTTTAGTTATTAAACTACTTCATATGCTTTCCCTTTACTTTCGTTCTTCTCCCTTTCTCTCTTCTTTCCTAGCTGGAAATCAATTTTCAAACAAATCCAGATATCATCTTTTTAAAGCTCAAGCAACTTTGTAGGGAAAACTTGTTTGAGTCCTCCCCACTTGAATGTATACTGAACTTTAGAAAAAGAAAAATGAGATTTAGGTGGGAATGACGAGTGTGAAACAGACTGAGGAAGGCTGAGATTGTGTATCAGGCAAGATGGGCCATCTTTCAGTTCTGCCCTAACTGGATGTGTGACTTTTCTGGGCCCAGGTTCTCCCATCTGTGTAAAGGGAGGACTGGACCACAATGGTGGTTTCTGAATGGACATTTTAACCAGTGAATCTTTTATTCAAATGGAATCTTTTGCAGATGCCTAACATCAAAGCTTATTTAAAGATGAAGTTGCTCTGGTTGATGAAGAGGTGATAGACCCAGAAACCCATTCATTCATTCCTTCATTCATTCACTAATTCAGCAAGTAGTTTTTGAAATCCTATTATGTGCCAGGCAGTGTTCCAATGCCTGGGAAACATCACTGAACAAATCAGACAAATATCCCTGCCCTAATGGACTTCCTTTTTAGCAAAGTGAGGCCAACCAAGAAACCTAGTAAATCAACAAATAATGTAATATGTTAGAAGGTGATTTTTTTTTTTTTTTTTTATCCTCACCCGAGGATATTTTTCCATTTTTTTGTACAGATAGAATGGGAGGGAGAGAGAGGAAGAGAGAGAGAGTGAGAAACATCGACGTGAAGGGACACATCGAGTGGCTGCCACCCGCACGACCAACCAGGGCCGGGGACAAACTGCAACCGAAGTACGTGCCCTTAGCGGGAACCGAACCCGGGTCTCTCGGGACCGCAGGCCGACGCTCTAACCGCTGAGCCAAAATGGCCAGGGCTAGAAGGTGATTTTTAATAAAAATAAAAGAAAAACGAGAAGATCCTCAAATGGAAATGGTAGCAAACACAAGTTAAGCTTCGAAAGATGAATGAGATTCTGAGAGCTGTGGATACGGTAAAGGGCGCTCAGAGAGCAAAAGATCTGTGGTTCTCTCAGCTCTCTTTCCTGGTGAAAGCCCCTTCTTATCCCTGTTCAAACTGCCCTATTAAGAACCTAGACAACCTACCTAAAATTTCTTCTTTAATTTACCCTTGGATCAGAAAACAAATTACAGGATTGGCCAATTTTTTTATTTTTTATTTATTTTTTTATCCTCACCCGAGGACATTTTTGCATTTATCTTCAGATAGAGTGGGAGGGAAAAAGGAGGGAAAAAAGAAAGAGAGAAACATTGATGTGAGAGACACACATCGAGTGGTTGCCACCCATATGACCCCAACCGGGGCCAGGGAAAAACTGCAACTAGGCATGTGCCCTTAGCAGGAACTGAACCCAGGACTCTCTGGTCTGCAGGCCGACACTAACCGCTGAGCAAAACCGGCCAGGGCAAGGACTGGCCAATTTTTAAATTAAGAGATCGTGTGGTTTACATTATCTGCCTGCTCTGAGTTACATGCCCATAGTGACTCACTGTTACTCACCTTCTTCAGCTAGTTCCAAGCTAAGGTCAGCATTGCCATAACATCATGTTACAGGACTACAGTCCTAACAGTCCACCAAGTTATAATATAGGTCTTGCTTAGTTCCAGTAGCTGGTGTACTTGAACAGTTGTAGACTAAAGAAATAACAACTGCCCTGGCCGGTTTGGCTCAGAGGTTAGAGAATTGGCCTGCAGACCAAAGAGTCCCGGGTTCGATTCCAGCCAAGGGCACATACCTCAGTTGTGGTTAGTCCTTGGCCCCAGTTGGGGTCATGCAAGTGGCAGCCAATTGATGTCCCTCTCTCACATAGATGTTCTTCTCTCTCTCCCTCCCACTCTGTCTGAAGACAAATGTAAAAAATATCCTTGGGTGAGGATTAAAAAAAACCCCACAACTATAATATTATTTAGACATCTGTAACTTAAAGGGATGCCTTGTGAATCTTTGGGAAAATGCAATACCTACTTTGTGTGTTGTTAAAGGTAGATTATGAAGGCAAGCTAATAAAATATGGGCATACTTCAGGAAATTGAGGGTTCAGATTCAGAGCACCACAATAAAGCAAGTATTGCAGTAAAGCAAGACTTAATCTTTTTGTTAGTAGAATATCTTGTCTTCAATTTGTAAAACACCTGTCTGTTAAATGCCATAAAGTGAAATGCAAGAAAACGAGGCCTGCCTGTATAACCACTTGAAAAGAGGCAATTTGCTTTTACAATTTAAAAATTAGAATCTATTCGAGGGGCCACATCCTTAGTCCGTGACATTGTTAGGGAGAAAGTAATAAGGCGTTGGTTTACTTTTCAATCACAAGTGACACAGTCAATGAAAAGCTGGAAAGTCACAGAAGAGTCTTTATCACCAACAGTACCACACTATAGGTAACTACTATTTCCAACTTATCCAGGCCGTGCAGGAATTAAGAGGCAGAGTCAGGACTCCAGCCTCACAGTGTGACTTCATGGCACAGTATTAGTTCATAAAAGTTGGAAAGTGAGAGGATAGGCAGGAGTGGGTGTATTCTTTGAAGACAGGTTTGGCTACTGTGGGAGAGCCATTCACTTTCCCTGGATAAGATGAGAGCGTGGGAGACTCTTGGTAGACATGTTAAAGAACAGCATATAGTAAGGAACAGGGAAAAGGGAAGGAAAAGAGTGCCGCAGTCAGCTTGAAGGCCCCTTCATACCATGCCTATAATTTATTGGGGTATACCATATCCACAAATGGCCTATTTACTCTTGATAATCTTAAACATGAGAGTTTAAGATTATCAGGACCTTTTTGTTTTTTTCAAGACCAGGGCCACAGTCTACAGAAAGTCAGGAAAGAACAAAAATGTGAACTATTATATTGTCTGGTCACTCAATCTTAGCTTTTCAGCAAGGTCCTAGTATCCTTTACATATGGGTAGCAAGGTTATTTAGTCCTGTAAACCTAACAATTTGAGGGGATTATACAAATTAAGAACTAATAGACTTTTTTTTTTTTTTTTTAATCCTTCACCCGAGGACACTTTGATCTTTTGTTCAGATAGAGTGGGAAGGGGAGAGAGAGAGAGAGAAACATCGAGTGGCCGCCACCCACACGACCCAACCAGGACCGGGGACAAACTACAACCGAGGTACGTGCCCTTAGCGGGAACCGAACCCAGGTTTCTCCGGACCGCAGGCCAACACTCTAATTGCTGAGCCAAACCGGCCAGGGCAAGAACTAATAGACTCTTGTTTCCTAGAAGCTAATACTTTGATTCCAAATTAAACATAGCATATGCTAATAATCTTGGGACATTCAGTAAAGATTTATGTCTGTCATAACATTGCTAGGGATATACTTGGGGTAGTTAAGGTTTTTGTAAGAGTTGACTATTATAGCAGAAATTAGATGAAATACTCCAGCCAGGACAGAACTCTACCACCTTCCCCACTAAAACCAGGATAAATGGAAAACAAGCTTACTCCCTGAGAGTAAAGGGAACCAGTAGTCTTCACAGGGGATTTTCAAACTTTTAGAGTAAACACTTTAAGCTTTTGGTCAAGTACAGAGAGAGAGAGAGAGAGAGAGAGAGAGAGAGAAAATGTGTGTGTGTACAGGATGCGTTTTTTAATTTATTTGAGGGGGGGAGGGAAAGAGAAACATCGATCTGTTTACCTTCCATACACACCCCGACCAGGGATCGAACCCACCACCTTTCTGTGTAAAGGACTCTGTGTGTATATTTAACAATCCTTTAAAAATGTAAAAAGCAGCCCTGGCTGGGTGGCTCAGTTGGTTGGAGCATCATCCCGTATACCAAAAGGTTCGATTCCCAGTCAGAGCACATACCTAGGCTGCAGGTTTGGTCCAGGGTTGGGGCGTGCATACAAGAGGCAACCGATCAATGTTTCTCTCTCCCATCGATGTCTCTGCCTGTCTCCCCCAACCCCACCCATTCCTCTGTCTCTAAAACAAACAATATATATATATATATATATATATATATATATATATATATATATATATATCCATCCTCGGGTGAGGATAAAAAAAACTAACTTTTTTAATAATAAGCAGAAAAATGTAAAAATCATTTTAACTCACAGACTGCAAGCTGGATTTCACCCACACACCGGCTATAGTTTGCTATCTCAGGAACAATCAACAAATGGGGATTCGTGTGATATAGCATATGGGACTTTATGAAATCAGGTAGATTTGGAGCAAATAAGAGGTGAAGTAGAGGCAAACTGCTGTCAATAATCTGAGTCAGAACAGCTCAGAGTAAACATGAAGAGAATACAATAAGGCTACATGTGAATACAGATAGTGCTAAATGGGAAAGGAAACACAGGAGGAAAGAAAATTTTTCAATTGTGAGCCATCTCAAGCAATCGAGAAAACTTCATTCTACTATAGGAGAGAGGCTGGAAACAATGTCAGTGCAGTTTTGTGTGCCTGAGTACACCACTTAATAACTAAAACACTGGCTCCAGCCAACCTCTCAATGACTTTTAGAAGAGGTAAAAGTCTATCAGAACCCCGTTGTTGTCAGCAACAACTAGGACTGCCTGCAAGTCATTTCCAGCTAGACAACTGTACATAAATTTAACTCATTTAAAATTAAGTGGAGAGACACATTTAAGTACACAAAAGCAAACCATTTACTACCTACTATGCAACTTACTTTTTATTGAAAGTATTTTGCATTCATGATGGATGCTTTCTGGGTCTTGCCACACATTTTAATGGTAAAGGTTAAAACTGTTTTACATGCAAGTAGTGTAAATAGTCTTCCTCATATGGGATCACTGATTTTAAAAGGATGACATACCACAAGGGCTGTTATTTTTTCACTGAAAAGCTAACTGTCTAGTTATATTTCCCCCAAAACCACAAACTGAGTAGTAACTGAGTCTCTTACCCAATATAGAAAAGATTAAAAATGCAAAAACAAGTCCTCAGATCCAATTAAGAAAGCCATGCTACATATGGGCTAATCAATACCAGTGGTACTCCTTGACTCCAGGAAGCTGAAAGACATCCTAATAACCCTGCACTCAAAACATTTACCTCAAGTAGCTTTTTCCCAGCTTTCAACTCATGAATAAAGATAATATGCTGTTAATTCTATTTCAGAAAACTTTTTCAGGTTGTTTTATTTACAATGCCAACTTTTAAAAGGTCACTAAAGTTAAATGAACAATAAACTAGGAAGAAATCGCTTTACAAAAAGAGGGAAAGCCCAAAATGCCACTTTCTATAGAGAACCCACAATTCAGTTTTATTCAGAGCAAAGAAAAAAAGAAACTTTTGATCATATTGGAAGAAACTCAGCCATAGGTTTGGAACCTGTACCCAAACTACACATGCAATGAGGACAATATTCTGCTAATACAATTGATTTGCTGCTGCATTTGTCTACTGTTTGTCTAATATTAACAATTATAAACAGAGCAGTGCAACTAGTATTTGGAACAATCCTTACAGTGTTACAGTGTCAGGCACAACTTTTCACTTCTCTTCACACCACTGGTTCTCTTTGCGAACCTAGAAGGAGAGATGGATATAAGAAAGTACCTTAACTCAAGTAGTCTTTCCTAAGACTACTACCTAATAATTCATCAGTAATCTGTGAGGTGGGGCAGAAAGAAACAGATGGAAAACTGGAAAAATAGGTTAATAGTCAGCCTTCTTTCCCAACCTAGGTTTACTCTGCCCGGCTAAAATGATCAAAAAAGCAAAAGCAACGGACAATTAACTACAGCTTCAGTCACCAGAGCTAATGGAACAAATTCAAATAGTTCATTCACATTATTTCAGTTTGTAGCCGTGTCAACAAAATCACTCTGATCTATTCATTCATTTCTTCCCCATTTACTAAGTTGCTCTCAAGTAATCTAGCATCCAACTATCCCTAGGATCTGCTTTTCTGAAATCACCTATAGTATATTTGTATGTTAGGTCCTAGGGGCCAAAACTAGTAACTGCTAAGGAGTAAGTATCAAAGAGTACCTTTGGCTGAAAAGTATACTGTTCTTATGTTTATCATTCAAGTGTTTAGACTCATTTTAGGACATAGAAGGTACCTATTACACCTCAAATAAAGTCAAGACTCCTTGATATGGGCCCTAAACACCTTTTCCTGGCATGTTATGGATTTTATGCTCTTTTGAAAAGCATGTGATCAAGAACAAGCTGTGGGCTACCTACCTGGGCTTCCTCTTCTTCAGTAAAGTCGTTTTTGATATTGAATGTCTTGCGAATCTCTTCAGGAGTTTTCCCCTTGATCATATTGGCAACAGTCTTGCATGTAACATCAAGCAAACCTTTGATGTCTAAATAGTTTGCAGCCTGTAAAGTGATTGCTGTTTTCATTAAAGTATATTTGATGTTTTAAACAAAACCCAAAGTTAGTGGCTGACAATCCATATCTGATAAAGCTTAAAATGCTAGTTAATTTTAAGAAATTAAATGGAAAAGAGTAAATCAGACAAGTTTTGTGAAAGATATTTGTACATACCCTTCATTGTATACCTCTATAATACTGAGCCCTCATGCTGCCTTAAGTAAACTATATACACTACACCTCAAATGTTAAAGAGTAACTACTACTGGGGGGGGTGTTTGTATGTGTGCGCGCGCATGTGCGCATGCACACACATGCGAATGCACGAGCACATGACAAATATTGACAAAACATTTAAAGAATTAAAACATAAGTAGTTATAGCATTACATTTTATTGATTTTCTGAAATAATCAGCTTTTGATTTTCTTTTTTCCCATTTTCTATTGATTTCTGTTCTTAAACGTTCTCTTTTTCTTTGGGTTAATTTCATCTTTCACTAGTTTCTTTCAGTAAAAGCTTAGATCACTGATTTGAGACTTTTCTTCTTTTCTGATATAGGTGTTTAGTGCTATCAATTCCCCTCTAATACTACTACAGTTGCATCTCACAGATTTTCATGTGTTCTGTTTTATTTCTGTTCAGTTAAAATACTTTCTAATTTTTCTTTTAATTTCTTTGTTGACTCGTGGGTTACTCAGAAGAATGTTATTCAGTTTTCAAATATTTGCAGATTTTTTCAGATAGCTCTGTTACTGAGTTTTAATTCCATTATGATCAGAAAGCACACACATTTTATGTGACTTGAATTCTTTAAAACTTGAGACTTGTTTTAAGGCCCAATACATGTCTCACTTTGATAGTATTTCCTTAAATATACAGAGTATGTATTCTGCTGTCATTCAAAGTAACATTCTGTAAATGTCAATTAGAATATGCTGATCAACAGCGTTACTTAAGTCTTCTATATCCTTACTGATTTCTCTGTTTACTTGTTATATCAATTATTTATAGACAGGTGCGGGAATCTCTAACTATGTAGATTTGTTTGTCTATTATTCTTCGAGTTCTATTGTTTTTTGTTTCACACTTTAGAAGTTCAGCATTTAGGCAGATAAATGTTTAGAACTGTTACGCCCTCTTAATAATAAATTTATTCCATTATCATTATGCAATGACCCTCTTTAATCCTGGTAATCATCTTTGCCCTGAAATCTACTTTAATATAGTCACTCCAGTTTTATTTTGATTCATGTTATCATAATATACTTTCCCCCTACTTTAAACCCAATGTGTCTTTACATTTAAAGTGAGTTTTTTATAGACAGCATATGCTGAGTTTTGCTTCTTTTTAATCCAATGTGACAATTTCTACCCTTTAATTGTGGTGTTTAGACTATTTACATTTAATGTGATTACTGACGTGGATTTTTCAGAGTATTAAAATTCAGTATCAATTAATTTCACAAATTTAACTCTGTAAGAAGTACTAAAGGCTCTGAACTAGAGTGTCTTACAGTAATCATTAAAAACATATCAGAATATGCCCTGGCTGGTTTGGCTCAGCGGTTAGAGCAACGGCCTGCGGTCCAAAAAAACCCGGGTTCAGTTCCCGCTAAGGGCATGTACCTCGGTTGCAGTTTGTCCCTGGCCCTGGTTGGGTCATACGGGGAGCAACCACTCGATGTGTCCCTTTCACACCGACATTTCTTTCTCTCTCTTCCTCCCACTCTCTCTGAACAAAAAATGAAAAAATGTCCTTGGGTGAGGATAAAACAAAACAAAACAAAAACCCTATCAGAATAGCCCTGGCCAGTTTGGCTCATTGGTTGAGCGTCAGCCTGCAGACCAGAGTCTCGGGTTCGGTTCCCGCCAGGGGCACGTACCATAAAAACAAAACAGAACAAAAAAACCATTATCAGAATAGCAGTTCTCTATGAAGCAAGCTCATGCTTTCCTCCACCACCTTCTTTCCCCAGTGTGCTCTCTCTTTTCCCAGAGCACCCCTGTGCCTCTCCTTCCTCTTTCACCCCTCAAGGCATGGATCTCTCTCCCTTTCTAAGCTCCAAGGTCTATTCGACAACCTCTGTAACTTTCTAAATAAACTTTCCCATAGATATATAAACATACCAGAATAAGTTCAAAAAGTGTTCCTTGGTCAACTTTGAGGAATTCTTGGTCCCATACAGGGATATCATCTGTTCGCTTTTCTTTGTTCTCATCATCCTCAGGAGGAGGAGGGTCATCCTTGTGGTGGGTGCACCACTGAATGACCTACAACAACAAGAAAAGTTCAATCCTCTGTGGCATTTTGTCACAAGATATTCATTCCACTGCTGGGGCAAGGTTATTCTTATACTGAGCTAAGAACTAATTAGAAGTTGACTTGAATAATAAAGTTAGTACCAAGCTTAAAAAGCAAAAATGAAGCTTGAGGAATCTTTACAACTCTAGAAGATGAAAGATCTTAAATAACAATGAATCCTACAGACAGGTCACTATACTTGAGCACATTAAAAACTCTTCTGCACAAGGATACATAAAGTCACACCGGCCCTGGCCGGTTCAGCTCAGAGGATGGAGCGTCGGCCGGCAGACCAGAGAGGCCCAGGTTTGGTTCCTGCTAAGGGCATGTACCTTGGTTGCAGTTTGTCCCCAGCCCCGGGGCCATGTGAGTGGCAACCACTCTATGTGCCTCTCTCACATTAATGTTTCTCTCTCTCCCTCCCTCTCTCCCTCCTGCTCAATCTCAAGATAAATGCAAAAATGTCCTTGGGTGAGGATTAAAAAAAAAGTCACATAGGACAAGGACTGAAAAATACCTACAACACATGCAACCAGCAATGGACTACCCTATAGAATATAAAACCTTAAAAATCATTTTAAAGAAATAAGCTACCCTGGCTGGTTTGGCTCAGCAGTTAGAGCGTCGACCTGCGGTCTGGAGAGACCCAGGTTCGGTTCCCAGTAAGGGCACGTACCTTGGTTGCAGTTTGTCCCTGGCCCTGGTTGGGTTGTGAAGGTGGCAGCCACTCGATGTGTACCTTTCACATTGATGTTTCTCTCTCTCTCTCTCTCTCTCTCTTCCTCTCTCTCCCTCCTGCTCTATCTGAACGAAAAAATGAAAAAATGTCCTCGGGTGAGGATAAAAAAAAAAAGACTAAAAACAGGAAATTCACAAAAGAAATGTGAATAGTAAAATAGGAGGAAATGCTCAGCCTCATTCAATGCAAAATTAACACTTTGGTCAGATGCAACTAGTTTAGACTGCCAAAAATTAAAAATCAAGATTTTGATACTAATTACTGGCAATAGTGTGAGGGTAACAAACTCTTCTACAGTTGAATATAAATTGGAATAACCCCTCTGAAAAGTCATCTGCACTACCTAGTGAGACCAAGTATGTACATACATTACCACCAAACAACTCTAAATACCCAGATACATACATAAAAGACTATTCAATGTAATAACAAAACAGGAAGGGCCTAAATGTTCCCTTACTAGGACAATAAACACATAATTAAATTTTCAGGAAGCTGATCAGCTAGACTACGTATACTATAGTAAAGACCAAAATCAACACTGAAAGTATTAAGTTGTAGAATCTAAGTAGTAGGCAAATGGGTGTTTCCTGTAAGATTAAAATGTTTTCATAGTACTTAATATTGGGGGAGAAAATGCTGAGAAAAAATGGCAGAGCCAAGAAATTATACTGCCAGGATGCAAAAAAGGGAAAAAACTATTTCTAGAACGAAAAGCCAAACATAAGGAGCTTTAATTAAACAAACAATAGCTTTCTAAAAAAAACTTTTTCCTTTACTGGTTTTAGAGAGAGGAAGAAAGCCCTGGCCAGTTTGGCTCAGCAGTTAGAGCGTCGGCATGCGAACCAGAGTCCCAGGTTCGATTCCCGCTAAGGGCACATACCTCGCTTGCAGTTCGTCCCTGGCCTCAGTTGGGGTTGTGCAGGTGGCAACCAATCGACGAGTCTCTCTCACATCGATGTTTCTCTCTCTCTCCCTCCCACTCTATCTGAAGGTAAAAGTGAAAAAAAAATATCCTCCAGTGAGGATAAAAAAAAGGGAGAAAGGGAGAGGGAAAGAAAGATAGAAACATCGATGAGAGAGAACATCAACTGGCTGCCTCTTGCATGCCCCCAACTGGGGATTGGGCCCACAACCTGGGCATGTGTCCTGACGGGGAATCGAACCAGTGACCTCTTGGTGCATGGGCTGACACTCAACCACTGAGCCACACCAGCAGGCAACAATAGCTTCTTTTATGTTTTTTTTTTTTATTGATTTTAGAGAGAAGGAGAGATAGAAACATTGATGAGAGAGAACACTGACTGGCCACCTCCTGCATGACCCTCTTTGGGGATTGGGCCCAAAACATGGGCATGTGCCCTGACTGGCAATCAAACTGGTGACCTCTTGGTGAACATAAAGGTAAATGTTCAACCAGTGAGCCACACCAGCCAGGCAACAATAGCTTTTTAAGTATTTCAGTTGTGTAAGAAAATAGTATCCCAATGCTCTGTGTCCTTCATCCTGCTTTATTTTTCCTTGACAGCACTTTCACTGATGGATTTTATATGGTATATTTATTGTGTCAGTTTCTTGCACTTCTTTAGTTTCCCACATAAGTTATTTTAAAAAGTAAACTGGTACCATCTTCTTCAGAAAAACGACCTGAATCTTCAGCCTCTGCCATCCCCTTATCCAGGGGAACGTACAACATAAGAAGTATGTCAGATGGAAAAGCTATGGATTATAAGTGGGTTGGTAGGTGGAGAGTTAATTATTTAAAAAATAAAGATGGTCAGGAAATACCTTGAGAAGATGATCTATCTTTGAACAAAGACTGACTGTGCGGGAAAGAGAATTCTGGACAATAGGAGCAAGTGCACTGACTCTAAGACAAGAGCATGCCCTCCCTACCTTTTGAGGTGGCTAGAGCATAATGAACAAGGAGGTAGTGTAGTAGAGAAGGTCAGAGCTGATGGGCTGGTGATATATGGCTACTTCTGAGAATAAGCTTTTTTGAACCTGTTTGCATTATTAGGATTAATTTAAACCTCAACTATATTGAATAACATCCAAAAACTAAAATTATATGATGAAATCTCTTACCTCTCATCCAAGCAGAAACCTCCATAAATAATAATAATAAACATTAATTTCTTACATATCCTTTTAAGAGCTTTTTATTGCCTATATAAGCAAATACTAATTGCTCTTTTTCTTACACAAATTGTCTGGTATTTGAATGAATGCAAGCAAAATTCCTTGTAGATGCATTTTACATTAGTATAAAGTAGATTAATTGCAAGATAATACCCAGAAGCCAGAAAGGAGATCTAAATAAAATTAAGGTTTCTAAGCCATAAAATACTACGAATTGGCCCGGCCAGTGTGGCTGTGGTTGAGTGTCAACCCATGCACTGGGAGGTCACTGGTTTGGTTCCCAGTCAGGGCACATGCCCAGGTTATGGGCCAAATCCCCAGTGGGGGGCACGCAGGCGGCAGCCAATCAATGTTCTCTCTCGTCGATGTTTCTCTCTCTCTCTCCCCCTCCCTCTCCCTCAAATCAATAAAGGGAAAAAAAATACTATGAATTGACATAAAGACAAGCAAACTGGTAGAAACTCTATATAAAGAACCCCTATAAAAAGACTACTAGACTACAAGATGGATGAACCTTGAAAACATTATAAGTGACACAAGTCAGACACAAAAGAACAAATATTGTATAATCCCATTTATATGAGGTACTCAGAATAGTCAAATTCAGAGACAGAAAATAGTGGTTAGAGACCCTAGCCTGGTAGCTCAGTTGGTTAAAGTGTCATCCCAAAATGCCAAGGTTGTGGGTTTGATCTCCAGTCAGGACACATACAAGAATCAACCAATGAATGCACAAATATCTCTCTCGCTCACCCCCACCCTCTCTAAAATCAATCAAAAGTAAAAAAATAAAATTAAAAATAGTGGTTATAACAGGCTGGAGGGAGGGGGTAACAGGGAATTATTGTTTAATGAGTCCAGAGTTTCAGTTCTAGAGATAGTTAATGGTGATGGTAACAACAATGTAAATGCCAGTGAACTGTTGACTTTTAAAAAATGGTAAAGTTGCCCTGGCCAGTTTGGCTCAGTGGTTAGAGCGTCAGCCTGCGGACCAGAGTCCTGGGATCGGTTCCCGCTAGGGGCATGTAACCTCGGTTGCAGTTTGTCCCCAGCCCCGGTTAGGGTCATGTGGGTAACAGCCAGTCGATGTGTCTCTCTCACATCAATGTTTCTCTCTCTTCCCCTCTCTCTGCCTTCTGTTCTACCTGAAGATAAATGCAAAACTGTCCTCAGGTGAGGACCATAAAAAAAAAAAAGGTAAACTTGCCCAGTCAGTGTGGCTCACTGGTTGAGCATCGACCCATACACCAGGAGGTCGCCGGTTCGATTCTCCATAAGGGCACATGCCCAGGTTGTGGGCCCAATCCCCAGTGAGGGGCATGCAGGAGGCAGCCAATTGTTGTTCACTCTTATCAATATTTCTATTTCTCCCTCTCCCTTCCTCTCTCTCTCTCTCTCTCTCTCTCAAATCAATAATGGAAAGAAAAAGAAAAAAAAAAGAATCATGCCCAGTTAGAGCGTCAGACTGCGGACCGAAGTGTCCCGGGTTCAGTTCCCGCTAAGGGCACGTACCTTGGTTGCAGTTTGTCCCTGGCACCAGTTGGTAGTGTGGGTGGCGACCAGTCAATGTGTCTCTCTTTCATGTCGATGTTTCTCTCTCCCCCTTCCTCCCTCTCTGTATGAACAAAAAATGGAAAAATGTCCTCGGGTGCCCTGCCCAGTTTGGCTCAGCAGTTAGAGCATCAGCCTGCGATCCAGAGAGACCCAGGTTCGGTTCCTGCTAAGGGCATGTACCTTGGTTGTCGTTTGTCCCTAGCCCTGGTTGGGTCATACGAGAGGCAGCCACTTGATGTGTCTGTCTGTCTCTCTCTCTCTCTCTTCCTCTCACTCTATCTGAACAAAAAAATGGGAAAATGTCCTTGGGTGAGGATTAAAAAAAAAAAAGAATCACACTTTAAAAAAAAAAAAAGGTAAACTTGCCCTGGCCAATTCAGTTCAGCAGTTAAGAGTGTCAGCCACAGACCAAAGGGTCCCAGGTTCGATTTTCTGTCAAGGGCACATACCTCAGATGCAGATTCGATCCCCAGCCCTGGCAGGGGTCATGTGGGAGGCACCAATCCAATGTTTCTCTCCCCCTCCCTCCCTTCCGCTTTATCTATAAAATCAATGGGAAAATAGCCTTGGATGAAGATTAACAAAAGAATTAAAGAATTGTAAACTTTGTTATATATCTTATTACAATTTTTTTTAAGCCCATTAAAAAAGATGGACAAAGGAAAACAGACAATGCAGAAAATATAAATGGCCAATAACATGTATAAAATGTTCAGGCTTAGAGAAGAATCACTTTTTACCCAGCCTAGGGCAATTAAAAAGACTGGTAATAGCCAACTTAGGTATGAGTATGGAAACATATGCAATGCAGCTACATCTCATACCAGTGTCAAGGGAAAGCATAAAACTGCATATGATCAATGACCTTTGAAAAATCCCTTAGAAAGGAGCCAATTGGAGTAAACCATTCCCTTCTCTAAGCCTAGCTAGTTTTTCTCCCTCCCCCCGCCCCCCTATGTGGAAACTGGTTGCTATTTTTTCAGGTAAGAATTCAATTTAAATAGCTGGCTCTATTAAGGAACCATGTGACTTGAAAGACTAAAATCCTATTCAATGTGGAGAGCTGTTCATGCTTAGACACAAGGTAAGGTGATCAACTGGGAAAACAAAAGTACATCTCTTATTCTCAAGCTCCCTTTGAGGCATACCCATTCAGTGGACAAACAATACAAAAATTTTCCTTTTTGTTAATCACATGTAGTTATATTTAAGTAATTTAAATGTGTTAATGGAAAGACTAGACAACTCAAATATTCACAGAGCCTGGTTAAATAAACAACAACCAATATTTAGTCAATCATACTATGTGAATTTTATTTATTTTCTTAAAAAGGACGCTATCTCTATCAATATAGAAAGATCACCAGGATATTGTTAAATTAAAAAGAAATACATATACAAGTTTACAGTTTGTTTACCTTTTTTAATATTGCTGCATTAACATTTGGTAGAGGAACTGGGTCATCATCGCCTTCATCGTCCATTCCCAAATCTAATAAAACCATAAGACAGTTGTCATTATTTCCTAACTCCATGATAACATTTATACCAAACCAGGCTATTTCTCAAACAACTAACTTGCATGACATGTATGAAAGACTATAAAATGTACTTTACTAAAAATAGGTATTTTGCCCAGCTGGTATGGCTCAATGGATTGAGCATCCTCCTGTGGACTAAGAGGTCCTGGTTCAATTCCCAGTCAGGGTACATGCCCGGGTTGGAGACTCAATCCCCAGTGAGAGGTGTGTGGGAGGTAGGTGATCTGTTTCTCTATCACATCGATGTTTCTCTCTCCCCCTTCATCTCTCTAAAAAAAAAAAAATTTTTTTCAATAAAAACATATTAAAAAAAAAAAAAGTTCTTTTAACAGCATTTAACACTGGTGGTTCCTAACAAAAAGTCCAGCTCTGGCCGATTTGGCTCAGCAGTTAGAGCGTCGGCCTGCGGTCCAGCAAGACCTGGGTTTGGTTCCCGCTAAGGGCACGTATCTCGGTTGCAGTTTGTCCCTGGCCCTCGTTGGGTCGTGCAGGAAGCAGCCACTCAATGTGTCCCTTTCACATCAATGTTCCCATTCTACCTGAACAAAGAATGAAAATATGTCCTCGAGTGAGGACAAGAGAGAGAGAAAAAAAAAGTCCACAAACCACCCAAAACTATATAAAGTTGTGAGTACACAAACAGAAATATTATACCAAGAGTTCTTAAATAGGAGGAAAATTATTTAATAAGCATGACTGAAATGACTGGACAGTCATTTGGGAAAAAAATAAAACCAAACCCTTATCTTCACTCTTTATACTAAACTCTCTAGATGGATTGCATTACAAATAAATAATTTGCCCGGCGAGTGTGGCTCAGTGGTTGAGCATCGACCCATGCACCAAGAAGTTACCAGTTCGATTCCCAGTCAGGGCACATGTCCAAGTTGTGGGCCTGATCCCCAGTAGTCCCCAGTGGGGGTCATGTTAAGAGGTGGCCAATCAAGGTTCTCTCTCATTGATGTTTCTCTCTCTCTCCTTCTACCGTCCTCACTCTCTAAAAATCAATAAAGAAAAATGTAAGGAAATAAAATAAATAGCCCTGGCCTGTTTGACTCAGTGGTAAGAGCGTTGGCCTGCAGTCCAGAGAGACCCAGGTTCAGTTCCTGCTAAGGACACGTACCTCAGTTGCAGTTTGTCCCCAGCCCTGATTGGGTCGTGTGGGAGGCAGCCACTTGATGTGTCCCTTTCATGTCGCTGTTTCTCTCTCTCTCCCTCCCACTCTATCTGAACAAAAAATGGACAAATATCCTCAGGTGAGGATAAAAATAATTAATTAATTAATTAATTTTTAAAAATCCTCACCCGAGGACATTTTTGCATTTATCTTCAGCTAGAGTGGGAGGGAGAGAGGGAGGAAGAGAGAGAGAGAAACATCAATGTGAGAGAGACACATCAAGTGGTTGCCACCCACACAAACCCAACTGGGGCCGGGGACAAACTGCAACTGAGGTACGTGCCCTTAGCGGGAACTGAACCCAGGACTCTCGGGTCCGTGGGCCGACGCTCTATCCACTGAGGCAAACCAGCCAGAGTGCATTAAAAATAAATAAAACAATGAAAAGTATCACAAGTAACAGAACCTCACACAACACACACCAACAGACCATGCAGACACTGACAAAAACAAGGCAGGCAGCTCCATATATACTGGTATAGTTCCAAGATTAAAGTTTTTAAAAACCAAGTATAAAAAGATACATATTATCTAAATAAAAAATGGGAATAAATATATTTATAGCCAAAATATCTCATATAAAGAACTGTATCTTTATGTATAAAGATACATAAAGAATTGTTAAAAATATTGTTTAGGAAACTTAAGGAAAATGTGGGTTGAGTGATTCAGTTTCAGGGTATAACTTTTAGTGTTCTTCATCACATACATATTACCTATAATTTTGATTCTGTAAGTTTCTCTGGTAAAAAGGTCTAACTTTCAGATTATCGAAGTGGTCAGTAAACTACAAAGACACAACTTAGCATAAAAATCCATGTTACTTAAAGATTCTATATAATTATTTTTCAAACCAAATGCTCTGTCCTTTGGTTTCAAGACTAAAAAAAGCTGCCAAAAAAAGTTACTTAATAGTTAGCATGTACCAAGATTAGAGGCCAAAGTTACTACAATACTATATCGGTGTAGCAGAATCTGTTATGCTGACATGGCCAGTGCTGAATCAAACATTTTAGTCCCTGATATATCCAGGTGCTGTCCTAGGCAGTTGGGAGTCAGCAATAAATACAGGATGGGAGGAATTGTTGCAATTTAGAGTAGATCAGGATGTCTCACTGAGATGACGTTTTCGTATAATTTTAGAGGACATACATAAATAAGTAGAGGGAATGGCAAATGCAGAGGCCTTCTAACAGGAATGTCTGGCATGTTCTAAAAACACTATGGAATCTAGCGTTGCTACACCAGGATTAGCAAAGGTAAAAGGAACAGATAAAATCAATAACAGGCAGGCTGATAGCAACAGGGCCTTCTGCCTTGCAGCTACTGTACTGGGAAGTGATGACAGAGAGCAGAAGAAAAAGAGGTAAACCAATCATGGGGCTAGCAATAATCCAGACACAAGATGGTGGCTTAAACAAGATTTATAACTATGTAAGTAGTAAGAAACGGTCTAATTCTATATGCATTTTGAAAGTAGAGCCCAGCCGGTGTGGCTCAGTGGTTGAGCATTGACCCATGTACCAGAACGTCGCTGGTTCGATTCCCAGTCAGGGTACATGCCCAGGTTGTGGGCCCGATTCCCAGTGGAGGGCATGCAGGAGGCGGCCAATTGATGTTCTCTCTCATCAGTGTTTCTATCTCTCCCTTACCCTTCCTCTCTCTCTAAAATCAATAAAGAAAAAACAATTATATTAAAAAAAAAGAAAGCAGAGACAATAGGACTTGCCAACAGATGGGAAATAGAATATGAAAGAAGTCAGAGAAGACTAAGGTTTAGACATGATGAACTAGATGGAGTTGCCATTAACTGATAGGGGAAAGGCTGTCAAAGAACTGATTTTGGAGGGCAGAGAATCAAGAACTCTTTCACAAATCTGAGATATCAATTAGATATATAAGGGTTAAATATGCAAGTCTAAAAATCAAAAGAAGAGATCAGAACTGTAGTTAAGTTTGGGAATTGGTGTATAGATGGTTTTATTTTTTTATTATCAACCGAGGACATTTTTGCATTTATCTTCAGATAGAGCGGGAGGGAGAGAGAAAGAGAGAGAGAGAAACATCAATGTGAGAGAAACACATCGCCTAGTTGCCACTCACACGACCCCAAAGGAAGCCAGGGAAAAACTGCAACAGAGGCACGTGTCCTTAGAGGGAACCAAACCCGGGACTCTCCAGTCCACGGGCCAACATTCTACCGCTGAGCCAAACTGGCCAGGGCTGTATAAATGGTTTATAACACCATAAGACTAGATGAGATGACCAAGATAATGAATCAGAATACAGTGATACCTCGGTTCTCGAACATAATTCGTTCCAGGAGGACGGTCGAGAACCGAATTGTTCGAGAACCGAAGCAATAGGAAAGCGTGACTCCACAAAGCGTGACTCTCTCTCTGCACTCACACTGATGACGCAAGCAAGCAAGGCGCGCTGGGCCGAATGAACGCCATTCGGCTCAACTCGGCTCATCTCGGAAGTTCGAGTTCCAAATATTTGTTCGGATTCCGAGACAAAAGTTTCTCGAATCTCCTGGTCGAATACCGATTTGGTCGAAAACCGAGGCGTTCGAGAACCGAGGTATCACTGTATAGTGAAGAGTTCCAACAATCAAGTACGCCCTGGGGAATTTCAGTCTTTAAAGACAAGGAGACAGCCCTGGCCGGTTTGGCTCAGCGGTTGGAGCGTCGGCCTGCGGTCCAGAGAGACCCGGGTTCTGTTCCCGCTAAGGGCACGTACCTCGGTTGCAGTTTGTCCCCGGCCCTGGTTGGTCATGCGGGTGGCAGCCACTCGATGTGTCCTTTCACATCGATGTTTCTCTCTCTCTCTGTTCCTCTCTCTCCCTCCCGCTCTATCTGAACAAAGAATGGAAAAATGTCCTCGGGTGAGGCTAAAAAAAATAATAATAAATAAATAAATAAAGACAAGGAGACAGAAGGCTGTGAATGAGGTATAGTACTTGTAAGTAAAGTATCCTGGAAGCCAAATGCAGAAGAGAATGATCAACTTTTAAATGCTGTCAATAGGTCTAGATGAGAAATGAAGCAGATGATACACTTAGCATGGAATCGTAGATTCAAAAAAATCTTATTTTCCTATATGTATTACAGTTACTCTTCTCCCCTCTCCTCCTTCCTACCAATGTCTTTCCCTGATCCCATCTCTTCCCAGAATTATAAAATGGTAATACCCTTCCCTGGACGGTATGGCTCAGTTGGTTGAGCACTGACCCATGCACCAAGAGGTTCCCAATTCAATTCCCAGTCAGGGCACATACCTGGGTTTTAGACTTGACCCCCAAATAGGTGGCATGCAGGAGAGAGCAGATCAATGATTCTCTACTCCCCCCCCTTCCCATTCCCTTCTTTCTCTAAAATCAATAAAAACATATTTTGAAAATTAAAAATAAAATGCTAATATCCCGCCCAGTAGGTGTGGCAGTGGATTGAGCATGTTCCACTGACTGAGAGGTCCTGGTTCAATTCCTGGAGAGGGCACATGCTCAGGTTTCAGGCTCAACCCCAAATTGGGGGGGGAGGGGAAGCATGCAGGACGTAGCCGATCAATGTTTCTCTCTCACATCAATGTTTCTATCTTTCTCTCCCTTCCTCTAATAAAAAAAAATAAAAAATAATTTTTAAATATCCCAATTTGGATCAAGCTACTTACCCATTTCCTGAACTAGTATTAAATATTTGTAATTAGAGGGGAGAGAAAACGTTTTACCATGTAAAATACTTATGCTTGAGAAATTAAGATTTAGAGAAAACATAATACAAAAGACCATCTCGTTTAGATCCAAAAGTTATTTGGAAGTTGTTTCATTTGTTTTTGTTTTTTAAGATTTTTTTTTATTGATTTTTTTTTTTTTTTTTGAGAGAGGGAAAGGAGAAGGAGAAAGAGGAACACTGATGTGAAAGCAAAACATCGATCTGCTGCCTCCTGCAAGTCCCCCACCGCTGGGCACATGCCCTGACCAGGAATGGAACTGGCACAGGACAATGCTGCACCGGCCAGGGCTGGAAGAAATCTTAAGTCACATTAAAAATAAGGGCCTTAGCTCTGGCGGTGTGGCTCAGTTGGTTGGAGTGTCATTTCATGCACCAAAGGGTCACAGGTTCAATTCCCAGTTAGAGCACATACCCAGGTTGCAGGTTCGATCCCTGGTTGGGTGCATATGGGAGGCAACCAATTGATGTTTCTCTCTCTCTCTCATCAATAAAAACATATCCTCTGGTGAGGATTAAATAACAAAATAAAAATAAGGGCCTTATGGTTGTAAAGGATTATTTCTCTAGCATTTAAACTAAAGATTTGCCCTGGCCTGTTTGGCTCAGCCGTTAAGAACATTGGCCTGCTAAACGAGTAAGTCTCGGGTTTGATTCTGGTTAAGCCTTAACCATTAAGGGCACATACCTCAGTTGCGGTTCGGTCCCAGCCCTGGTCTGGGTTGTGTGGGATGCAACCAACTGATGTCTCTCTCTCGTATTGATGTCCCCCCCCCCCTCTCTCTCCTCCCCCCTCCCACTCTGTCTGAAAAAATAAAAGTGGAAAAATATCCTCGGGTGAGGATTAAAAAAAACAAACACCAAAATCATTTGCCCAGCTGGTGTGGCTCAGTGGCTGAGCGTCAACCCATGCACCAAGAGGTTGCCAGTTTGATTCCTGGTAAGGGCACATGCCCAGCTTGTGGGCCCAATCCCTAGTGGGGGGCACGCATGAGGCAGCTAATTGATGTTTCTCTCATTGATGTCTGTATCTCTCTCTCTCTCCCTTCCTCTCTCTCTAATATCAATAAAGAAAAATCATTAAACTAAGGATTTGCCATGTTTTTTGCTTTTAGACTGAATGCACAAGTAACAACAGTCATTCCTTTTAGATATTTAGTTTCAAGGACTTCTGAAAGACACCTGTATCCTGATACCATACCCTGTACCTGAACAAATCAGTCAATCCATATGTACAAAGCCAAGATTTTCACTTCTGATTGTCCTGTGATTAGAAGTTTTTATATATGTTTTCTGAGTCACAACAACAACAACAACCCATAACTAGAGATTTTGCAGATGCAAAACAAGAAAAGCAGTAAGTTGCCAAATTCAATAGACTCTAGTCCTCAAGAGGCCAGACTTCTATATAAACCATTGGTACTTAAAATGCTCTTTGAAGCAGCACGAGACAGATTAGAGTGCCAGGCACCAACTAGGGTGAAATAAAGAACACTTTCATTGCCAAAGCAAGTATTCAGGCAGCAATTGTGGTATCAGTTTCTACATCTTCTAGATAAAGCCTTACTCACCTGCCTTTGGGACACTTGGACTGCTTTCACACTCTTTTAGTAACCATAACATAGTTCTTCATTCAACAGATACTTGATGAACAGTGACTGTGGGATGTACCAAGGGGTTTACAACTTAATAGAAATGATCTATGTATGTAAGTTACCAGGATACAGGAATGTAAGTGCCACATGATTGGCATCAACGACCAAAAAGAATTATATGTTCAGCTTTTATTAGCAAACAGAAACCACACACTAAGAAAACAGAAAACACACCCTCTGCAATTCAACTTCTGCCTCTACCATACCTAACATCTGCTGTTAGAAGTCCTCTATCTTATTAACTGTGAAATCCTAAGTAAGAGTCAGCAGTATATGAATCTGATAATCACTCTGTTCACCAAAATGCCTCCCTCTTACCTTGACTTCCACAAATCCTACTTCACTCATTCTCCACTTCTGACTTCTACACTCCTGCCCTAATGTGGCCACCTTCCAACTTCATTTACTCCCATAGATACATACTCTGATAACCCACTATACAAAGTAATTATCTCCAGGAGTCTACAACCCAGGGACCAAGATCCACATACTCAACTGCCTATATATTGTTACGAAGATCTACTAAAGGAATCTCAAACACACATAATATGTTCAAACTCAAAGCCATTTTCTTTCCATTCCTTTCAAACCCGTTCTTCAGCTCTACCAGCTACAGTATCACAATCTCATCCCACCCCAAAAACCTCGACTTTACTTTTCTCTAACACATTCTCTCTACCACAGAAAAATCTCTCAAAACATCCTAATTCTACTAGATTTGAAATATCATCTCACTAGGACTACACTGCACTCTCTCCACAAGCCTGAAGAGCATAGCCAAGATGTTCCACAGCTTTACTGGCACACAACTTTATTAATGCACTAATTATACCATGCGATAGTTTGATCTGTTTGGTGTCTTTCGACACCTTCCTGGTTTAAAATCTTTCAAGAGCAGCCTATTTCTCACTTACCTTCTTTTCACCAGAACATAGCTAGTGCCTGGCACATAACTTCACTTAAGCATCACTTAGTATCTATAAGCTACGGATCTTCCCTACATAAAAACATTTGACATTTGAGTACTGCAGAACACTCATTACTACTAAGTTATTTTTTTCACCAATTCTAGAAACTAATTTGTATGTTTACATACTACAGTAATGTCCACTGGCCCATTGGTATTACTAAGAAGAGATTCACGTGAACTAATAAAAATTTCAAAATGTTTCAGAATCTATTTTTCTGTCTTACGTCTTTGTTGTGCTGTACCTATACTTTGCAGCAGTTTCAGAGGCATGACAAACTAGACAAAAGGGAAAACTTGGTTAAAAAAAACAACACATCTACTCTGTTTACAGTCTACTCAGTTTACTCCCTCTGCTGAAACAATGTGCTCTATTTAGTTACCTTATAGAAGGGATCTCTTTTCCAAAGGCTTTAATTTTGGTCATTAGAAATTGTGAATCTAAATTTACTTGAAACAGAAATTGGTCTTATTTAATAAGGAAAAAATTCTATTAATTCAGACAATGCAGAAGGGATCATCTGTATCAGAAAAAGGCAGTTAATACTTTAAATTTTAAGAAGAAAAACTTCACCCTTTTATACTGTTGAGCACTTTGATGGATTGTTACTTGTATGTTCACAGGTTATCTCAAACTGCTTATTTTTGCCCCTTTCCCTTGGCCCAGGTTTTTAAATAAACTTACCTTCTAACATGGTCTTGATAGTTACAGATTGTTTGGCAATTTCAACATCAACTTCAAATATCTCTCCATCAGAACTCTGCAACTTAATTGAAGGCATCTAAAAAAGGCATTGTATTGAATTTGAAATTTAAGAGATATTAGTTCTATAAGACATTTCATCAATTATAGTCCGTTAAAAGCCCTCCATAACTTATTAACTATAAAATCCTAAGGACCTGTATAGTATATAGCCCTATGAAACACTGTGAGTGGTTATTCAGAGACTAACATACAAATGTTTCTATAAATTTTTTTTCAAAGTATAATTTCTTGGAAAGGAACCTTTTAATGCCTGCCCTACTGAACTCATTGCTGGTATAAATTTAAAAGTTATATTCTATACTTTTGATGTAAAATATATCTAAAATGGACTCTCTTTGCTTTTACTGAATACTGACTACTCCATTTGAATAGTTAACTGCCACAATTAATCACCTGCAAACGTGAGGGAGGTCAGTCCAAAATAAACAAAGCTACCAAATAAGATAGTAACTTTCTCCTAGTGAGACTTACTAATGAAAAAGAAGTTCAAATCCAAAGAGTCCATCAGGGCATATTTATTCATGTTTGGATCAATGCAAGATCATAGAACAGAATAAAAGATCTACAGATAAGCAGATGTCGATCTAATTCCCTAAACCAAATAAGAAACTTAAGTTACAGAGTACTTTTTATCTTTCATTACTGGCTGTCCAGGTGTCCAAGTTTGAGACATTCTGCAAAAATCCTCATAGTAATAACCTACTCCTTGTTTCAAAAATGTAATTAACTCAGATTAATTATGAGTCATTAGAAAAAAGACACCTCTTACATAAAAGTTAATTAAGCAATTAACTTCAAAGGACTTTAATTCTGGCAAAAAATAAAAATTCTAAGCCAGCAATTTCTTACCATCTTCACATTCTTGGGGAAAGAAGATTGGGGGCAGGGGATAGCAATACCTGACTATAAAGATTAAAGACCTCTTCAAATTTCAAGTATAGAGTTTATAGGCCCATGCTTCTGAAATATTCATTATCCTATGATGTCAGCATTAACTTGAAAGTGGAGAATTTGGCATTTAAAACATTAATTGTGCCCAGCTGGTGTGGCTCAGTGGTTAAGCATCGACCCATGTACCAAGAGGTCGCCAGTTCCATTCCTGGTCAGGGCACATACCCAAGTTGTGGGCCAAATCCCCAGTGGGGGGCCTGCAGGAGGCAGCCAATCGATGTTCTTTTTCTCTCCCTCTCCCTTCCTCTCACTCTAAAAATCAATAAAGAAAATTTATTTAAAACATTCACTGTACTTGTCCTGGCTGGTTTGGCTCCGCGGTTAGAGCGTCAGCCTGCGGACCAGAGCCCTGGGTTCGGTTCCCGCTATGGGCACATACCTCAGTTGTAGTTTGTCCCCGGACCCGGTTGGGGTCGTGTGGGTGGCAACCACTCGATATGTCTCTCTCACGCTGATGTTTCTTTCTCTCTCTCTCTCTCTCTTCCTCCCTCTCTCCCTCCCGCTCTATCTAAAGATAAATGGGAAAAAAAAAAATCACTGTACCTATTTTAGGTGTAAAGTCTTAAGACCCATTAAATTAGTTAAAATACTCATTCAGCTTTTCCCAGACAATTATCTCCATCTCCCAGACAAGCTGTTCGGGAAAGGAAGCAAAAAAGGTAAAGGTATGTTTTAAAACCAGGCACTGAAATGCCGTTCTGACTGATCCATGGTTGCAAAGAATCAAATTTCACTTTTCAGTTCACAAATATGTTTGCTTCTCCATGTTACTTAGTGCTTGCCAATAATGCAGCGGGCCCAGGGCACAGGACCTTCCCTGTGACAAGGCAATAGCAAAAGGTGTTTCCAAAAGAAATATTTTAACGTGAGCCCAATATTTAATTACAAAACATTCTATGTTCTTTTTATGTTCCATAGTACCGGAATAAACATTACAGAATCACAAGTCTGGCTATGCAATTGACAAAGTTATTTTTAAGCAAGATGACAACGTCATATTTCTTTCAAATAACTCAATAAATAGCAAGATCTGCTTAGTCATAGTCAAATTCGTGTATTAGGTTACTCGTAAGGGAGTTGAGGTCTTATTAAATAGCAGGGAGTCAATCGGCTGATCTGTAATTCAATGCACTTTGTAATCCTAAACTTAATATTTAAAGATAACTTTTTTAGTGTCATACAACTGGAATTCGGTGCAAAATTTTTAGGTAATGATGAATGAAATTTTGATTTGACATGCTTCCAAGACCATTCCTTCAATTGTTTAGGATCCTATAGTTGGAAATTAACTCTCTCTCCAGGGCTAGCATGATGTGGGTTCTAATAAAGGAGAGAAAACATATATACACACACACAACAACCTGTTTTTTAAGTGTCTCGAAATTCTGACACCTCTTTTCAGAGGGCAAAGTGGAGAAGTCCGCATTGCTCTACGACACAAATACATTCTATTGTGACGCTCTGACAAAAAAAATTCATGACCCAAAAACCCTAACCTGAAGTCTCCATTAAAAGTGAACCAAAGCCAGGTGCACGTCCCACCCCTAAAAGCCAGACACCTGGAGTTTTACAGAGTTAAGGTTCCTCAAAGTTACACCCTGTTGACTATGGTACCTGTTATTACAACAGTTGTTTCACCAACTCCAGGCTGTGGCAAAATAATAGAAATAATCAACAGGAGCAGGCGGCTATCTGCAAAGATTCGGCCCCCACTCAGCTGGCGAGAGAACCGGTGACTAGTGACGCCAGAGACTCTCCGGAGAGAAAGGATGAGAGCCAGAACCAGGCGCTCCCAGATAGCACCGCCACGCTCGCCCTCACACCAAAACAACACGGGCACGCGCCCACGTTCACAACAGCCAAGGGATTTCCATTACAAGCACCGCCGCCATCCCCGCCCTGGGTAGCGCCCTGGGTAGCGAGGCCGGCAAACTCAATACCAAGGGAGGCGCCGGGCCGCAGCCTGGGCCTTGTAGCCGAGTTCCGCGCCGGCTGACGCTCACTCGGATCAGAGAAGGCCCAATCCCAGGCTCGGCTCGCATCCTCTCCCGCCCTCCCGGGCGCCCCTGGGGCGTCATGACGACGCGCGACCAAAAGAGGCCTAGCCGAGTGGAGGGGCAGAATGGGAGAACGAAGCCCGCTGGCACCCCCAGAAAAACAGTCTGAAATGGGTTGCACCGGGCCTAAGGGCAGACCAGGCCCAGATTCCTCCCGCCTCGGGCAGGCCAAAGCCGCCGCGGAGCAGCCACCAGCTCGCGACGCGCGGCGCCACCGCCCCTTCCAGCTCTGTCGCCGGCTACTCACGGTGCTCAGTCTCAAGGAGAGAGCGGGCCGGAGACTGACGAGAGCTGGTAATACCAGCGGACTCAAGGGAAAGGCGGAGAACAAGGCCACTTGCACCAGCACGGCGCGGCGTCGTCCTTTATAAGAGCGGCGCAGGCGCCGAGGACCCCGGGGCTCCTGGCGTCACAGCGTCGTGGGGCTGGCCGCCGAGTTCGCCTGATGGCAGGTGGAGGACAGCAGGGCGGCCCCAGGACGCCCCCCGGAGGGGCGGGGCCGGGCGTGGAGACCGCGGGCGCGGCGGGATTGGCGGGTTTGGCGGGGCTTAATTCTGACCCTCTTTTGAGAGCGGTGCTCGCAATTCTCAGAAGGAAAGGAAAATTTGACGGTGTACTGCGTGGCCTGCAAGGGTCTTTCAGGCAGGGGCTACCCTTAGCCGAATTGAAGACCCCCGTCTTGAAAAGCCTAGAAAGCGGTAGTGTGGGGCACGCGGAGAGTGGTGGGCGGGGGCGGGGGCGGGGCGGGGGCGGGGGCGGGGGCGGGGCTGCGGCTCTCTTTCCAGCTGGGAAAACGGGGCTCAGAGAAAGAAGGCGGATCGACTCAGCAGTATCAGCTGAGAGTCTGCTCAATGTGTCAGTGGTCTCTGCTGAACTTAACATGAGTTAGCTCACTGTTCATAATAACCCATGAGGTGAAATATCATTACCCTTTTTCTCCTTTATATATTAAGGGAACAGGTTCCCAATGATTTCAGTGGCAGAGCCAGTATGTGATCCTTATGTTACCAGCCAGAAGATGACACCTCGGTTCTTGTTTTCTTGAAAGAAAGATTTCAATCAGGAGACAAAGTGCAGCAAAACAAGCAAGAATTTATTGGCAAAAACACACCTAGGACAGTGAAACGAGGAAGGGCATAGAAGAAGCCTATAACATTTTTATTTTCTTTATTGATTTTAGAGAGAGAGAGGAAGGGAGGGAGAGGTAGAAACATCCATGAGAGAGAACATTGGCCGCCACCTGCATGCCCCGCACTGGGGATTGGGCCCACAACCTGGGCATGTGCCCTGACCAGGAATCGAACCCACGACCTCTTGATGCATGGGTTGACGCTCAACCAGTGAGCCACATCGGCCAGGGAAAGCCTGTAACATTTAAAAGATCCCCTATGTCCCAACTCCAACCTATATGGAAAGGATCTTACCCCATTCTTTTATCCTCATCTGCTATTCAAGTTCCAAGGATCCCATACAAAGGTCAACCTCTGGGTACAGCCTGAGGACCCTGAGGACACAGCATCACCTCCTCTAGACCTGGCCTACACCTGTAAACAGGTGGAGGACCTTTTCGAAGAGAACAGAATGCCCCTAATATTCCAGATAAGGCTGAGTAGTCTCTTACTTCTATTACCCCCATATTACTTCATCCTGGCTAGCTTCCATAGCACCTATCAGTTGGCCAATCTCACTGTCACTACTTTACAATTCAATACTACCTGCTGGCTTTGTCTCTCATCTCATGGTTGGGGATATGTAAAACCTATATCTCTCTGGAATTGGGGAACACTTCCTGCTGATCTACCTCAACACACACACTTTTATAATGCCTGGGGCTCTCTCACTTCTTTCAACCTAAGGAAACATCAGACACCTGGTGGATCTCCTTGCTAGCCCTTTCACCCAAAACCCTAGCCAGTCACACACAGGTGCCCTCTTCTCTTACCTAGCTAATTAACAGGAGGCTAAATTTTCTTTTTGCACCATTAGCAATGCCTCTG